GTGCCTGGAAAAGCAGAAGAAGATGCTGTAAGTCCTTGGGCCCCTGCACCCATGTGGGAGACCTGGAAGAAGCTCCTGGCTCCTGGCTTCAGCTTGGCCCTTGGGGCCATTATGTAACCCTGCCTGTCAAATAAGTAAATAAATCTTTTTTTTTTTTTTTTTAAAGAGGGCCTAGTCAGTCAAATTAAGGCAATTAAACTACATCTAAAAACAGTAGTGCTACCAAAAAGTTTTAGGTAAGGATTATCAGATTTGTATTTTAGAAAAATCTCTCTGTAAGGAAAATGGATTGGATCAGAGATTAAAACTACAGGAATCTTATGCATGCAATAATCCAAATGGGAAATAATGTTGAACAAAGGCACTAGAGCAGTGGAGACAGATGTGGGAGCTGGATGATTGATAGGATGAAGATGATGAGGACTCAAAGATGACTTTTGCCTGAGCAGTGTTGCCAAACAACACTCCAAACTCATTGGTGGTGCTGCTATAGAACCCCCAAACCTCGGTCCACTCGCACGACACACAGAAAGCCAATCACTGACCCTGGATGGTGGAAGAAAGTAGGTGATTATTACAAAACACAGAGCAATGAGCTGGGCAGCTATTGCCCAATTCCCAGGGTGCCTAAGGAGTGGGGAGGAAGATTCTTATAGATTGAAATGAGAGCTAAGTGGTGTGTGATCAACTCATGTCTAAGTTCCTTGTTGGTCAGTTGTGCTTGTGCCCTTCCTTTGATTGACCAATGATGTCATGCTCTTTAGGGAATTTTTGATAGCCAGGTGGGTTCCAGTTATACTACAGTGGGGGAAGGAGGTTTTTACTTTCTGCCCCAGACCTGGAATTTCTGTGTGGACCTGGAATTCCCCTAAACAAACCCCTCCAAATGATTTCTTGGGTTCAGTGATTAGAACCTTGTTGGGGGGCCGGCGCTGTGGCTCAGTGGGTTAACACCCTGGCCTGAAGTGCCAGCATCCCATGTGGGTGCCTATTCTAATCCTGGCTGCTCCTCTTCCGATCCAGCTCTCTGCTATGGCCTGGGATACCAGTAGAAGATGGCCCAAGTCCTTGGGTCTCTGCACCTGCATGGGAGACCCAGAAGAAGCTCTTGGCTCCTGGCTTCAGATCGGTGCAGCTCCAACCATTGCAGCCATCTGGTGAGTGAACCAGCGGATGGAAGACCTCTCTCTCTGTCTCTACCTCTCTCTGTAACTCTGCCTGTCAAATAAATAAAATAAATCTTAAAAAAAAAAAGAACCTTGTTGGGCCAGCTGCATCACTCTCTCAATTCAGTGAATGCCTTGGTGGTGGTGGTGGTGGGGGGGGCAGGTAGAATTACAGACAATGAGAGAGACAGAGAGAAAAGTCCTCCCTCCTTTGGTTCACTCCCCAAATGGCCACCACGGCCGGAGCTACGCCCATCTGAAGCCAGGAGCCAGGCGCCTCCTCTTAGCCTTCCACATGGGTACAGGGACCCAAGCACCCGGGCCACAGCAGAGAGCCGGACTGGAAGAGGAGCCCAGAAACTGGTGCCCATATGGGATGCCAGTGCCACAGGTGGAGGATCAACCAAGTGAGCCACAGTGCCAGCCACAGTGAATGCATTTTGATAAAGGTTGGGGCAAGAACACCATGGGCTAAGGGAGTCAAAGGAGAGGACAGGTCCTGTGCTTACATTTAAGGGTTTGGTCTCCAAGTCAGAGAGTGCTGGAAGAAGACAGTTTGGACTGGGGTGGGAGAAACAATGAGCTTGTTCATAGGTATGTTATTTCAGAAATGAAGGCTAAATTAAGAAACACAAAATAAGCACAATAGATCAATAAATGGCTGAAAATAAATAGATCATAAAAAAGGAACAAAGATATTTTTCATATCAAATATAGGGTAAATCAAAATCAAAATGCCCCTATGGGAGAGGGAGGGAATAGAATGAGAGGATTACGAGTAGCTAGAATTCTTGGAGTAGACATTGTTTTGTAGATTTGACTTTGAAACTGTGCAAGTATGTTACAAAGCTATAAAAAGAGAAATAATACTTAAAAAGAAATCCTGAAAATAAAAAATGACACACAAAACCACACATGCAGACATATTGGTAGCCTGATTTGATCTGTCTAAAGATTGTACTGTTTTTACTAATTCCAGCTGAAATCCTTTCTGCTTCTATCTTGTTTCTTCTAAGGGCAAAAAATTGATCAGTTTCCTTACAATAGACTTTTTACATTGTAATCGGGAGTTAACAGAACTTCTGTTATCCTGAGCCAGTTCCATTTCCCTTTTCTCTGGGGTCCAGTTTTAGGTTGCTGCTTAAACTTTCTCTTGCTGATTTCTGGGTTCATTGAAATTTTGTATGCTCAAGCCTAAGATAAATGGGGTAAGATCATTGTAAATTTGGCTTTCTCTCATAGGTACCCAAGGCAGCAGTACTACCAAAAGACTAAAGAGTATTTAAAGCCCCTTGGAAGGAATGACCAAATCTCATATGGGTGGCAAAGACGACAAGTGCTTGGACCCAAGACCAACACTGTGGTGTAGCTGATAAAGCCACTGCCTGAGATGCTGGCATCCTGTATAGGCACTGATTTGAGTGCCTGCTACTCCACTTCTGATCCAGCTCCCCACTAAGGGCCTGCGAAGAGCAGCAGAAGATGGCTGAAGTCCATGGGCCCCTGCTACCTACTGCACCACAGCACTACCTGCCCCCCCCCAGGATAAATTCTTATGAAGTGCCAACTAAGGACCAGGTTTGGAACTAGGCCAGCTGAGAGGTAGCTTCATCTCATTGAGCCCAGGGCAAATTTGTGGAGCTGACTGTACCTTCCTGCTTTGCAGATAAGGAGACAACCTCAGAAAAACTAATCTAAAAAAAGGACTTGCTTAAGGCTTATCTGACTTCAAAAATCAGGGGTGAAAGTAGGAATAATGCAAAAAAGTTTTTAAAGCTATCAGCCTTTCATCTGTGAGAGCAGTTACTTTCCTTGCTTTTTCTTAAAGTATTTATTTGAAAGGCAGTTACAAAGAGAGGGAGACAAAGAAATCTTCCATCTGCTGGTTTACTCCCTAAATGGCTGCGATTGTTAGGGCTAGACCAGGCTGAATCCCAGAGCCTGGAACTCCATCCAGGTCTCCCACAAGGGTGCAGGGCCCAAGCACCATGGGCCATCTTCTGGTTCTTTCCCAGGTAAAATAGCAGGGAGCTAGATCAGAAGTGGAGCAGCCGGAACTCAAACTGGTGCTCACATAGGATGCTGGCATGCCAGGTAGCAACTTAACTTGCTATGCCACAATGCCCTTCTTTCCCTTTTAAATTTTTCTTTTTGAGAGACTGAGAGACAGACAGACATAACTCCCACTCTCTAGTTCACTTCTCATGCCTGTGATGGCTAGCCTGGGCTGTGGCCAAATCCAGGAGCCAAGAACATAATCCACGGAACGCAACTACTTGAGCCATCACCATTACCTCCCAGGGTCTGCATTAACAGAAAGCTGGAGTTGGGAGCCAGAGCCAGGAACTGAACCCAGTACTCTAATGTGGGATGTAGGCATCTTGACTGCTAAACTAAATGCCCACTTCTTCCTCCCCAGTGTCCCCCGACCCCAGGCACCAACCTTTTTTTTTTTTTTAAGATTTATTTATTTATTTGAAAGTCAGAGTTACACAGAGAGAGGAGAGACAGAGAGAGGGAGAGAGAGAGAGAGAGGTCTTCTATCCGATGGTTCACTCTCCAGTTGGCCGCAATGACCAGAGCTGTGCCATCTGAAACCAGGAACCAGGAGCTTCTTCCAGGTCTTCCACGTGGGTGCAGGGGCCCAAGGACTTGGGCCATCTTCTAGTGCTTTCCCAGGCCATAGCAGAGAGCTGGATCGGAAGTGGAGCAGCCGGGACTTGAACCGGCGCCCATATGGGATGCCGGCACTTCAGGCCAGGGTGTTAACCCACTGCACCACAGCGCTGGCCCCAGCCACCAACCTTTTAAATGACCCTTGTTATTTTGCATGGTGTCTGCTAGAAAAGATACACTTGACGTGGAGTGAGGAGACAGCAGACAGCTTTCCTCACAGGTGAATAGGGAGCATGGCTGACACATCTTCCTCACCTGCCCTTGTGAGACCAACAGTTGATAGAGACCTCCACTTAGAAGTGAGTCCTCTTTGGTCATAGGTTGTGGTCAGCAGGCCACAGATTCTGAGCTGTAGTTGGCAGTCAGTTGATTTATTAGAGTGGTCAGTATCTATGGAAGGGAGGAGAAGAAAGGAGGATTGGGTGAGGAAGAAGTTGAGCTATAATGCCATCCCAGTGAAGGTGTCTGCTGACTCCACAGGGGACCCTGGCACCAGGATGACCCCACAGTCATTCCAAGCTGGGCCTGTCTTAAAAAGAAAAGATTGATTAATTGATTGATTTGTAAGACAGGCAGGGAGACAGATCTTCCATCTTCTGGTTCACTTCCCAAATGACCTCAATGGCCAGGGCAGTGCCAGGCTAAAGCCAGGAGCCTGGAACTCCATTTGTGTCTCCCACAGAGGTGGCAGGTGCCCAAGCACTTGCTTTCCCAGGCACATAAACAGGAAGTGGGATTGGAAGTGGAGCAGTTGGGACTAGAACTGGTGCTCATATGGGATGCTGGCATTGCAGACAGAGGCTTAATCCACTGAACCACAGCACTGGCCCTGTGTACCTGTCTCAATACTCCAACACTGATTAGTGATCAGGTACCAGTGACCCTTGGAATGAAGTGTGACCTCAGATGAGGCAGTTTTCTTTACTAGCGGCTAGGAGCTGAGGGCCAAGTCCCACCTGCACTCTCAGCAGCTGGGGTGATAAGTTTCTCCTCTTGGAAGGGGATCTGGACAGCACGCAGCACAGCATCCACTACCACCTCCAGTTGGAGTTTGCAGGCCTAGCCCAAGTTAGGACTTTGGCCCAGAAGACCATTGTTCCTTTCTATCCATTACTCATAATTTTTCAGTTTATATTTACCCATCTTATTTTATTTCAGAATATGGCAGATCTTCTACAGTAATTTAGATGCAAAGAAGAGAGATGTTGTCTGGAAGAACAAACCACCTGACTGGAGAGAAGTATGAAAATGGGAGGAAATTATGCAAGATTGACCCCATTCTGCTGGTTGGTTTACGGTGGAGATGGATCCATTTACAGTTACTGAAAATGGCTGGTATGTGGGGGCCTTACTAATTCTGGGCCAAATGTAAAGGTCATGCCTAGTTCCTCTTCCAGCCGTTGTGTGGCTCTTCCAGAAATACAGGTGCTCCTTGACTTATGATGGGGTAATGGCCTAGTAAACCCCTTCTAAGTTGAGAATACCATACATTCAAAAGGTATTTAATGCATCTCAGCTAATGCACCATGGCTTTAGCCTAACCTAGCTTGATCTCTCTCTAAGATTTATTTTATTTATTTGAAAGGGAGAGCTACAGAGAGAGAGAGAGAGAGGGAAACATAGAAAGAAAGACCTCCCATCTACTGGGAGATGGCTGGGGCTGAGCCAGGCTGAAGCCAGGAGCCAGGAACTCCTTTTGGGTCTCCCATATGGCCTCCCACATGGGTGGTAAGGGACCAACTATTTGGGCCATCCTCCAATGCTTTCCCAGGCACATTAACAGGATGCTGAATCAGAGGCAGAGCAACCAAGATTTGAACCCAGCATTTGGCCATGGGATGTGGGCACTGCAAATAGCAGTTTAACCTGCTGTACCACAATGCCAACCCCAACCTGGTCTATCTCAAACGTGCTCAGAACACTTGCATTAGGCTATGGTTGGGAAAGCGCATCTCACACGAAACAGTGTTGGGTATCACATGTAGTTTGTTAAATCCCATACTGAAGAAAACAAAATGATTGCATGCGTACAGAAGATGCACTGGGTATTTTATAGACATGATGGGATGTGAAAATGTGACATTCAGAGTTCAAAAAACACTGCCACACAGCACACTGGCAAGTGTCCATCATTTCCCCTTGTGACCACAGGGCTGAGCAGGAGCTGCAGCTCCCCACGTTGCCTCGCATCACAAGGCAGCACTCTCTCTGCAAGTCGCTAACCTGGGAAAAGATCAGAATTCAAAGTAGAGTTTCCACTGCATGAGTATCACTTTCACACTACCCTAAAGTTGTAAACTCAGAAGTCAGACCATTCTAAGTGGAGACCATCTCTTGGGGGCGGAGGGGATGAAGAACGTGCTGTGGCTCCCGGCCAGCTCTGTTCTCCCAGCTCGTCCTCAGGATCCCCCTGCTCTAACCAGAGGGCCTCCAGTGCAAGCCCAGAGACGAGACAGAGGAAGAAAATTTCCTTTCAAAATGGTGACAATATCCCCAGTCTGTGCTCACCCTGGAGGCCTATTTTGAAAATCACAGTGATTTAGCTTGTTAGCAGTTTAATTCACTTTTTAAAAGATTAACCAGACTAATTACTCATCAGATTTCACCATCTTTTGTCAGCCTCAATAAGGATCTTTTGTTACAACGATTAATGTGTTTTAATTGTAGCTTCTCTCAGAGCAATAATTCGATCTCACAGTATTTGCCGAATCTATGGAAATCCTGGAAATGCTTTGACAGCTGAGCTATTCTTGGGAAACGATAGTAAAGGAATATAGGTAACTAACAAAAAGTGTCTTTCTAGTCCATCGGATTTTTCCCTCTCTGCCAGACCTTCTCTGCTGCAGTCCATGAAGCTATCTGCTGGGCAGTCCGTTGTCCCTCCAGGAGCGTCAGGGGGTAGAGATCAGTTGATCCAGGTGGCTGCATCTCCAGCTGGTACCCTCAAGCATATGCTAGTCCTCATAATTCTCACAGCACATCTGCATGCACGTCAGTCAACTAGCCAGTGCCCATAAGTCGCCACCCAGTGAAGAGGCTAGGCTGAGTCCTGTGTGCTGTCCATTCTGTTTTCCGCCCAGTGGGTCATCTTCGTTCATTTAACTGGTGGCTGCTCTGCAAGTTAAGCATCTTCACAACATCAGGAAGGTGTCTGGGGACAGGTATTGTTGTAGCAGTGAACATGCTACCTGGGATGCCTGCATTCCCTATCAGTGTGCAGGGGTTTGAGTCCTAAATCCGCTTCCAAATCCAACGTCCTGCTAATGTGCACCCTGAGAGGCAGCAGGTTATGTCTCAAGTTCTTGGGTCCCTGCCACAGAGGTGGGAGGCCCACACTGAGTTTCTGGTTCCTGGTGTCAGCCTGGTCCCACCTTGACTGTAATGAACCAGTAGGTAGAAGATATCTATCTCTGTATGTCTCTTCAAGTAAAATGAAAATAAAGAAATACATTCTTAAAATAGGTATAATAATACAATCTTATAATGAGAATTAAAATGAGGTATTTCATTTAAGACCGAGTATACTGTCTGGAGTATACTAAGCCTTCAATAAATTAGTTTTGAAAAACTGCAGCTCTTCAGTGTTTAAGAATATCATATGTACATGAGCATTTCTGATTCTCACAGTAATGCTCAGGCAAGTAGCAAAAGGTGTGCTGCTGTTATTTGTTGTTTCTTTTCACACAAGAAAGCTAGGCACAGAGATGTGGTAACCTTCGTGCATATCATGTATATGTTCATCAGCTCATTCAAGGACAAAGCATGCTCTAAAACCCAGATTCTAACTTCTATTCCAGAGCTTTTTTGATTGCAACCTTAAAGGTACCAATAGAATAATGAATTCATTATTTGTTGGCAAACATTAGCCCCACTGTTGGGATATATGTGCATCAGCAAAACAAAGCATAATCTCAATTAATTCAAGTACCTACAGATAAATATTACTATCACTCCCCTGTTTATGGCTGAGGACACTGAGACTTCCAGGTATTGAATAATGTTCTTTTTTTAGAAAAAGAAAATTTTCATTTGAAAGGCATAGTTATTGAGAAGGAAGAGACAGAGAGAAAGAGAGAGATCTTCCAACCCCTGGTTCACTCCCAAATGGCTGTAATGGCCATGTCTGGGGCAGGCTGAAGCCAGGAGCCTACAAATCCATTCAGGTCTCTGAGGTGGGTTCAGGGGCCCAAGTATTTGGGCCATTGTCTGTTGCTTTTCCCAGGCCTTTAGCAGAGAGCTGGGTCAGAAGTAGAACAACCAGGTCTTGAACTGTCGGGGTCTCAAACCCTAGGCTGGCCCCTGACCAGCAGGGGCGACTACAGACACTCCCCAACAAGGCGAACGGGTGGGGTAAGGTCGACGGGTGATGAACACACCACAAACACCCGTGAGTTCTGTCGAAGCAGGAACCGCTTTATTGAAGAAGTGTGCAGGCTTATAAAGCTTACGAAAGACATGTGCAGTAGGGGAGCCAATCAGCGAAAAGGTCACGCAGGCACAGGTGGACCACGCACAGGGGCACCTTAATTGAGGTATAGGGATCACGCACTGTCCACGTGCCCGGAAATAAATCGGACCTATCCCTGCAGGTGGTCTGATCTTAGGTAGCTTAACCGCGGCAGCCGCAGACACGCCCCTCGAACATCCGTCAGGCGCCATGTTGTAATGGAGACTTTAGGCAATGCCCAACATTGAACCAATGTCCATATGGGATGCCAGTGTCGCAGACATTGGCTTAACCTGTTGCTCGACAATTCTGGCGCCTGGATGACTTTTTTTTTTTTTCCTCTTTCAAAGACTTATTTATTTGAAAGACAGCGTTACTGAGATAGGTAGAGACAAAGAGACAGAAAGGTCTTCCATCTGCTGGTTCACTCCCCAAATGGGTGGGGCTGGGCTAGGCCTAAACTAGGAGTCTGGACCTCCATCTGGGTCTCCCACGTGGGTGGCAGGCACCCAAGTACTTGGGCCACCTTCTGTTGCTTTTCCAGGCACATCAGCAGGGAGCTAGATAGGAAGCAGAGCAGCCAGGACTTGAAACAATGATCATGGGATGCCAGCATCAATCTGCTGCACCACAACACTAGCTGCCAAAACACTGTTTTAAAAAGGGAGGGCATGTTTAAAAATGAGAACTATGAGTTCTATATAGTAACCAATTTTCGTTCTTTAAATTACTGTCCTAATAGTTCAGGCACCATGACTCAAAAGATGAGATGTCTTTAACTTGTCGTTCCTTTACTTGGGCATCATCACTGCGAAAAAGGTGTGTGAGGTCCAATATTAGAAAGTGAGAGTTGGGGCGGGGGTGCTGTGGTGTAGCAGGTAAGGCAGCCTCCTGCAGTGCTGGCATCCGCCTGCTCCACTTCCGATCCAGCTCCCTGCTAATGTGCCTGGGAAAGCAGCAGAAGATAGCCCAAGTGTTTGGGCCCTGCACCCATGTGAAAGACCTGGAAGAAGCCATGGCTGTTGCTGCCATTTGAAGAGTTAACCAGCACATGGGAGCTTGCTCTCTTTCTCTCCTCTAACTCTGCCTTTCAATTAAATAAAACATTTTTTAATTGCAACAAAAATAAATTAATTAAAAAGTAAGACTAGGGCCAGTGTTGTGGTGTAGCAGGTTATGCCACTGCTTGCAAAGCCACATCAGAGTGCCAGTTGGAGTCCCAGCCACTCCACTTCTAGCTCAGCTCCCTGCTGATGTGCCTTGGAAGGCAGCAAGAGATGTTCCAAGAACTTAGGCTCCTGATACCCGTGTGGGAGATGCAGATGGAGTTCCTGGTCCCAGCTTCAGCCTGACCCAGCCCTGGCTGTTGTGGCCATTGGAGGGGGTGAACCAGCAGAGACAGGATCTCTTTCTTGGGTCTTCCTAATATATATTTGCATAGAGAAAGCCCAGAAAAAAAAAAACACTATGATTAGGACAAATTGTTTGTGTTAAATCTGGTTCTTCAACTTATTTGACCATTGAAACCTTCTTTTTAGTACAATCGTTAAGATCCTGCAGGAGCCCAGGCACGTTCACTTAGTAATCAGGGCCAAATTTGTTTAGCATTTAGCATACCCCAGAGACTGTTCTTAAACCTTTCTGCATTTTAACTCGTGTTGTAATAGTCTTATCAGGCAAGTGTTTTTGGAATAATCTCCTGACAGGGCTATTTTTGTTAAACAGTTTCCTAAGATCAAGCACTGCTGTAGTAAGTGGCAGAGCGGGGACCTGCGTGTTCTCTCAGCCTCGATGGAGGAGCTGACTCAGCACGTCATGCTCCAAGGTATGCCATTATTTCTTTCTAACTTAAATCTGGGACAAATGTGCTACACAACGTTGCCATTTGATGACCTTGACCCAACCAAGGGGAAAAAAAAAACCTGACAAAACCTCTTCTCTGATTCAGATACTCCAGTTAGATTTGCCTCTCTGATCTTAATAACTACAGATTTTCCCTAGAGTGCTATTTAGATATTTTCATTTGTTCTAGTTCCAGACATCTACTTAGGTTTTATATCAGAAACAAAGATGAAATCTTCTTACTGCCACGTCTCTTTCCAGGTAACATCACTTCAGTTTTCCTCCAGGCCAAATGGACCAAGACCAGACAGATAAGAATCCTCACATAGTAATAATGAGAAGAGGGTGGGCATTTGGCAGAGCAGTTAAGACGCTGCTTAGGGTGCCCCGTTCCATCTCAGAGTGCCCAGGTTTAAGTCCTGGCTCTGCTTCCAGTTCAGCTTCCTGCTGGGAAGCAGAAGATGATGGGTCAACTGATTGGGTCCCTGCAACCCACCTGGGAGACCTGGGTTGAATTCCAGGCCCCGGGCTTCAGCCTAGTCCATCTCAGTGGTTGCAGACATTTGAGGAGTGCACTGGTATTTGGAAGATCTTTCTCTGTCTGTCTCACTGCCTCTCTTGCTTTCAAATAATATGAAAGTAAATAAATAAGCATTTTTTTTTTTAAAAAAAGAGAAATAGCCAAGTGATCGCCCACCTGAAATAAGAAAATACAGTTTTCTCCAGTATGGCAAAAGGCACCAGAATTTTCTTCTGGATTTGTTGCTTTTTCTTTCCTGTATTTGGGATTGGGTGGAAAAATGACTGATGTGATGAGGAGGTTTTGGGAAGGACCGGGGAAAAAAAAGCACCCCCAAAGGTGCAGAAAGTCCCCCAGGAAACTGTCCAGGACTATGTTGCCACCTTCTTCTTTTGATCCTCTGTCCCCATAGAGAGAGTGGCTTTTTTTTTTTTTTTTTTGTACGTGTGTGTGTGAAGCATACTTTTCCAAGTTGTTACATTAACAAATCTGCTCTGGTTTCTTTATCCTTGTCCTCTAAAGACCACCTTGTCGGGGGACAGTGAACTTTCCCTTCATGCCAGGCCTGCTGCACCATCTAATGTCACAAGTGTCTGCTCACATTAGCTCCTGGAGACTGGAGCAGGTTCCGCAGCAGGCCTTTCCAGCAAGTGGATTTGACAGAATGAGTCCCCGTGCTAGCTCATGGCACTTATCAGTTAGTCAGTCTTCCTTGGGGACGAGAATTTAGAGTGCACCATATTCAGTTTCCAAATCAACTGCTGTCCCCTCAGGAAGCTGGGTGTTGCATTATTAAAAGAGATGCCTTCAACTACAGTACCTGCTTAAACATTCATCCACATTAAAAAAAAAAAAAAAGCTAGTGGTAGTGGGGAGAACACACAACAATGCCCCCAAACCTTTACTGTGTTAACTCTTTCCCCGCTGAGTTTCATGTCTCCCTGGAACTTTGGTTGGTGAGAATGAATACTTGTTATTTTGTGAATCTTAATCCTTATTCAAAACCAGATGATTTGTTTAACTTCAGATGGCTATGAAATGTTACTTTATGTGATAAGATCATGGGACTGAAGTCCGCAAATTTTCCAACCTCTCCTTTTCACTAAGTACCCAATGCAAAGCTAAATCCAACAATTTAGCTGCAAAAAACAGCAGTGACTTTGCTTTACCTGTTACATACCTCTCCCAGGGATTCACATGAAATGAAATAATTAGTTCTCTGTGCAAATCAACAGATCTGAAACTCACACTTTAGGAGTTATAACTTCAGGTTTCTCTAAGTTTTGAAAAATACGGTTTGTTCATTTTTATCTTCCCAAACCAGAAATTGACAAGATTGCTGGAGAAAAGGAGAGATCCTTTTTTAAGACTGCATGTTGATATAAATATGAAAATGGCTTTAACTCTGCTTCCAATTTCCGAACATGTGTACTTCAATGAATATTAAATGGCAGGCTCCTATCACCACCATGATTTATTTATATACCAGCGTTTTCATCAGGAAGGAACTGGAGTTGCCTGTGGAGCGTGAGAGTCTCCTATAATTGAGTTTCGAGTGGCGAATCCACTAAACAGGCCACGGCCCCAGAGACACCCCCGAAACCCACCTGTCAGCTGGTGTTAGATCACAGCTCAAACAAGGCATGGCTGCGGCTCCTCTGCTAAACACTGCTGTGGCCACCCCCCCCCCCAAAAAAAAAAAAAAAGTTGTTCCCTGGGGGATGAAGGAAGGCTGGGGGCAAATCATGGGGGTTGGGAGGGCAGGCAGAAAGCTCTCATCTAACAGCTGCCTGATGTCAGCAGGAATCACAATCTGAAACTCAGCCTGGGAGGGGGACTGGGGGGGACCTCCGACGTGGAGGTGTCATTTCCTTACTTTAACAGCCGTTACATAGGGGCGTAATGGAGTGGACAAGGAGCTGTTTCATCAAGGTTGAACCATGGAAATCAAAGCCCAGAATTTCAGTGGGGATCAAGATATAGCAGGCTTCAGACATGCAGACAAGTGTACATCTGGAAGTAGAGGGAGACAGGCTTTGGATGGAGACAGGCTGGACCAGCCAGGGCTGAGAGAGTCAACATTTTAAACCCAGGAACCAGTGTGCATCCAATAAGCATCTGTTCAGTGTTCACTAGTGCTGATTACCGTATCTGTTGCTGAGTGCACGAAGATAAATATGATATAGGCTTAGTCCTGAAGGGGTGTAAAATGTAGCTGGGAAAACATTTAGGTGAGTCCATTCATATTATGGTGTCAAAGGCCATGAGAACCAAAATATGTCCTGAAAACGACCAGTTAGGGGAACTTCCCAGAGGAAGTGACATTTGAGCTGGGTTTTTCAGAATAAGTAGGATTTAGCCAGGCAAAGGAGCAGAGCAGGGAGAGTGAAGCATGGTGGTAGAAGTGAGGGGCTCTGGCTATGGAGAACAGAGGCCCTCTCAAGAAGGATAGCACATGACATCCTCACAGGGCTCCCAGAGACTTGATGTGGCAACAGGCGTGGGTGATGGGTGTGCATGGGAGCCCAAGGGCGATGGAGCTAAAGAGCTAGAAAGACAGAAACCAGTGATCGAGGACTTCATGAGCCTGGCTAATAAGTCAGGTTTATTTTCCTAGCCACTGGGGAGCAATGGAAAGATCTGAGGCAGGGGAATGATGTGGCCTGATTGCTTTGTAAAAAGACCAGTCCACCTACCTTGTGTAGTGTGAATCAGAAAAGGTGAGGCTGGGAACAGGAAGGCCAGGTGGGAGGCAGACAGGTATAGGAGTCTTTGAGAGAAAGGGTGGTGGCCTGAACCAGGGAAGGTGCAGTAGGGATTCAGAGGAGGGGACAGATTGAGCAATCATAAGGAAAAAGACAGTAGGACTTGGCAAGCAACTGAAAATGGGGAAGAAGGGAGGAATCCAGGATGACTCCAATGTTTCTGGCTTCGGTGTAGGGTTTCTAGCTTTAGGAAAGAAAAATACGTGGAATATTTGGGACATATGGATGCTAAAACATTATTCAATGTTTATCTGGATTTCAAATTTAGCTGGGAATCCCATACTTAATCCGGCAACCCTAATTGGGTGACTGCGTGAATAGTGGGTCATTGGTCAAGGTGGCGATTGAGCAAGGCACCATTGTGGGAGAAGGGGCCAAGAAGATGATTCTACTTTGATTTACATTGCCTGTGAGGTGTCTGAGGGATACAGCAGACCTCTGATTTTCCCCCGATTCCTTTCTGCCCTTCTGTGTAAGGATAGCTCTATCTGGCACATAGCCAGTCAGCTACTTTACTTGCCAGTCTTTACTGTGGAAAGCGCTAATGAGATATGAGAGGAAGTAGTGTATGTTTTGTTCTTAAATTCTGACTGTGTCCTCCTTTCCACTGGATGGAAGGTAAATCACAACTGAAGCAGCCTCTTGGGCCCAGAGGTGAAAAGCACCAATTGCAGATGGCGCCTGTGTCACCTACCCCCGAATTGTTCTGTGGGAGAGAAATAAGCTCAACCTGCACCCTAACTACAATAAAACACCCAAGCAGAAATGCCCGGTGGGCCACTGGATACGCTGACTTAATAGCGAGCAGATTGTGGGGAGCTGAGAGATGGAGAGCACTGGGGGTGATTCCTATGTAGGCACTGCATGAACATGTATGGGCTCCAGTTTCGATGCGATCTCTTAGGGAGAATGTGCGGTGTGAGAAGAATTGTGCCATTTTTTCTTCTTGTGACACCCATCCTCTTTGGAGACTCAACCTTAGGCTTTATCCTCAAGTAAACAGAGCAGTTCTAGGAGTACTAGAATGCTGTTTCAGAGTGTTATTTTCATTCCCCCAGACTTTTCTTGTATATAGTCATGCCTTATTATTTAGTGCTGCTGAATCCATTTGTTTTTATCTGGAAGTATATCTCAGCACTCTCTGGGAAGTGGGTATGTTCTCATGTCCTGTGGGTATTTTTTGGACATTTGAGTATGTCCTGATGGCTGTACTGGGGTCTATGCAAAGTCGTTTTACCTGTGTGTGACTGTTCTTGTTGACTTCTATGGGTAAGGCAGCCCATGTGTTCATCCAGGTTCCAGCCTATCGGTGTGAGGCCCGAGGGTGCCTTTATAGGGGTGTCTGTGGGAGATGCTGGTTGTTTTGGCTTTGGTAGTAGCCAATCCCCAGCACTGGCAAGACACAGCCTTCAAGATTCCTTACTTAGAGGAGTCTTCTGGGTCATTTTGGAGACTAGAGAGTATTTTTTGAAGATTATTTCAATTGTCTTTTCAAATCTGAAATATTTGAAGGAAGAACATCTCCCAAACTTCCCTGGGGGCATTCCTTGCCTCTTCTAAGTCTACCTGCTCCCCACAAACACCAGACTGAGGCTGAATTTTACATGATATGACATGAAGTGTGATCTGCATGACGGTCAAGGGCACCACAGTGTGTGTGTGTTTGTGTGTGTGTGTGTGTGTGTGTTTATGGAAGTTTCTAAACATACTAAACATCAGAAGAAAAAGAATCTCCTTATATATATCACCCAGCTTCAATAATGATCAACATTTTGCCTATTTCATCTACCTTTCTCTTTTTTCCTGCTAGTATAAGGCAAAAATTAGACAGATTGTCACTTTATATGAATGTGTCATTTGTATCTCTAATTGATAAGACCCTTTTCTCTATTCCACAATGGCAGTGTTTACATAACAAAATTAACAATTCCTCAGTATGGTCTACACTGAATCCATATTCAAATTGCCCGACTATCTCAAAGACATCTTTTTGTCAGTAGGTGTTTTCAAACCTGTGTAGGGCCTACGACTGTGTCTCTTTAGCCCCTCTCACTCTGAAGCAGTCCGCCCTTGCCGTGGATTTGAGGAGGAACCAGGTGATCTGTTCTCATAGCATCTTACATTCCGTGTCAGTCTGATTGCTCCTTGGCGAGTTGCTTAACATGTTCCCCACCTCCATGCTTCCTGGTGGCTATATGTAGGCTTTGGTTAGAGTCAAGATCAGTATTTTCAGAAACCAGAACTCCTTAGGATGGTGTTACTATGAGGCATGTGATATCTACTTGTTTCGCTTTTAATAATGTCAGTGAGACTGGTCAGAGGGCTAGGGTCATCCCGTAAGGTTCCCTGTAAAGTTTCACTTGACAGTTCCAGCAGCCATCGCTTTTGGAGCAGCAGTAGAACGTGGTATGTCTCACTCAGCTTTCTTGGTTCTGGGCATGGCAGCTGCTCAGAGCTCAGGTCGAGCTTCCCGTGGATCTCCTCCCCCCAAACTCCCCTCCTCCCCAGCCTCTGCAGCCCTTCGATAGAGCGGAGGGTGTTGAGCATGACGAGCACTGAAAGTCTGGTTTATGTCTAATAAGAAATGGTGATGGACGATAAAAAAAAAAAGCCTTTCTTTCTTCTGCATTCATTGGCTGGGATTCTTCCAGCCTCAGAATTTGCTGATTCTGGGGAATAGTGGAGTTGTCAGAAACTCAGAACCAAGTGGGGATCCAGTTTCCCTAATGTCCTTGTGTACTTTTTTAAAAAAATGTACTTTAAAAAAAAAAAAAAAAAAAAACAGAAAAGGAGAGAAGGAGAGAAGAGAGAGAGAGAGAGAAAGAAAGAGAGGGAGGGAGGGAAGGAGGTCTTCCATGCACTGGTTCACTCCCCAAATGGTCGCAATGGCCGGAGCTGGGCCAATTTGAAGCCAGGAGCTTCTTCTGGGTCTCCCATGCAGGTGCAGGGACCCAAGGACTTGGGCCGTCTTCTACTGCTTTCCCAGGCCATAGCAGAGAGCTATGTCAGAAGTGGAGCAGCCAGAACTCGAACCAGCACCCATATGGCATTCTGGCACTGCAGATGGCAGCTTTACCTGCTATGCCACAGTGCTGGCCCCCTCCTTGTGTATTAAGACAGATAAATCCACCTCTCCAAAGGGATCAGGCCTAAATCCTGGCCTCATTCCAACCCACATGAACTTTTATGCTGACACTGTTGAAGTCGGCAGGTGTGCTCAGAGAGAAATCTACTCTTTGCTCCAGGATGAAGGGGCTCCAGGGATAGCAGGTGAGGCTTTGTCCCAGGGCCCAGGGGATTCAAGGCTGCTTAGGCATGGCTGTCTGACCTCCAGAGACTGGTTTGCTTGGAGAAGACTCTCTTTGGCCTTCCCCACTCCCACCCCAGCCAGGCTGTAGCTCTCCAGCTTTTCTCCTGTTCAATGCCCTTCCCAAGGACCCAACATCAGTGTCTCTTCTGCTTTGACTTTCTGGTGCCTCTCTCTCTGTCCTCAGGTGGGCCTCTGCCTGTGTCATCCCTGGCCCGGGCACTGGGCTGCTGTCACCTGCAGGTGTTCTTTCTGGAGGCACAGAGACAGAGTTCATCTCCTGCTTGGTGTCCCTCCATTAGCTCTTTTTCAGATCTGGAAAACATCTATATGACAAATACCCCACAGCAGGGCCCAATTTCTGGGTTTTGGTGCTCCAAGGGATCCTGGACTCCATCTTGGGGCTGTGTGGCCAACTCTGCACTTAGCAGCTGACTCATCTAACAGACCAGTCTTCATTTCTTAAAAAAGATGGGACTGCATGGAAAAGGTGATATGGATACTAATTTCCAAGAGGAAACATAGTTTAAATTCTGGAT